GGATCCCACAAAACCTGGAAGGCTCCTGAGGAATTCCCAGCAGCAATAAATATCATTTCTTGAAAGGATTTCCAAGTGTTTGATATTTCATTTATCCCATCTCCTCGCAGTGAGGTCAGGGATCAACTCCTACAGGCACCATCACAGTCAAATCTGATTGAAATATGGAATTTGGGGCGCAAAAAAAACGGGAAAATGAGTGATAGATTCCAGACCAGAGGAGTTAATCCATCTCCAAATCCCACTCCAAATTCCACCTCCCAATCCCAATCCCAAATTAACCTTTAAATCCACTTCCAAATTTCACCTTGAAATCCCATTTCAAACCCACCTCCAAACCCACCTCAAAAACCCACTCCAAATCCCACCCCAAATTCACCTTCAAATTCCACCTCCAAATTCCACTTCAAACGCATTTCCACTCCAAATCCACCTCGAAATCCTATTCCAAACCCATTTCAAAATTCACCTCCAAATCCACCTCAAATTCCACTCCAAATCCACCTCCAAATCTCTCTCCAAATCCCACCCCAAATCCACCTCCAAATTCACTGCAAATTCACCTCCAAATCCATCTCCATCTCCAAATTCCACCTCCGAATCCCACTCCCAATCCCATTCCAAATCCACCTTTAAATCCAAATCCAAATTCCACCTCTAAATTCCACTGCAAATCCACCTTCAATTCCACCTCCAAATCCCACTCCAACTTCCATTCCAAATCCTATTTCAAATGCATTTCCACTCCAAATCCATCTCCAAATTCACCTCCCAATTCCATTTCAAATCCACCTTTAATTCCACCTCCAAATTCACCTCCAAATTCCACTTCAAATGCATTTCCACTCCACCTCCAAATTCCACTCAAAATCTCACTCCAAATTTCACCTCTAAATCCCACTCCAAATCCACCTCCCAAATCCCACCTTTAATTCCACCTCAAATCCACCTCCAAATTTCATCTCCAAATCCCCCTCCCAAATCCATCTCAAATTCCACCCCCAAATTCCACTTCAAATGCATTTCCACTCAAAATTCACCTCAAAATCCCATTCCAAACCCACATCCAAAAATCACACCAAATTCCCCTCAAAATTCCTCTCCAAAATCCACTCCAAATCCTTCAAATCCCACTCCCAATCCCATTTCCAATAAACCAAACCCATTAATTGGACATTAATCAATAACGAGCCAATAAAATGAGATTTTTGCTCACCTTCCACTGCCCCAGAGCAGTCTTGGCCACTGTCCCGTCAGCTTCCAGGGATCCGGGGCAATTGCTCGATTCCTCCTGTTGAGAAAAATTGATTTTTTTTTTTTTTATCCATCACAATATTATGAATTATTAATGGAGTTAGAATTTGGGATATTGGCTCCATCATGGTGATAAATCAGTGTTGATGATCATCAGTAAAAACATCCTTGATTTGACTGATAGCAAATTGTTTTTCTGGAAAATTAGGAATTATATTCATTATTTTTATAATTGTATTTATTTAAACTATAATAACATTTTAACCTACTAATATATATTAATTTTATTTATAATTTATTCTAATCATACCATAATATCTATAATCATAACATTTATAATGATACTATTTAATTTTTAGATACTTCTATATTATTTTTATGTTTTTATTTCATATAAATAATAAATATTGAGGAGGTGTTCACCCCATTTTTGGGGTGAAATATAAACAAGAGGAGCTGTTTTTCCTATTTTTAGAGGGGAATATTAAGAAGAGGAGCTATTTCCCCCATTTTTGGGGTAAAATATGAAGAAGATGAACTGCTTCCCCCATTTTTAGGGTGAAATATGAAAAATAGGAGGAGTTTACCCTATTTTTAGGGTGAAATACAAACAACAGGAGCTGTTTTTCCCATTTTTAGGGTAAAATATAAAGAAGAGGAGGAGTTCCCCCCGTTTTTAGGGTAAAATATGAAGAATAGGATTAATTTCCCCCATTTTTAGGGTGAAATTTGAAGAAGAGGAGCCATTTCCCCCATTTTTAGGAGGGAATATGAAAAAGAGGAGGAGTTTCTCCCACTTTTGGTGTGAAACATGAAAAAAATGAGCTGTTTCCCCCATTTTTAGGGTGGAATATGAAAAAGAGAAGGAGTTTCTCCCATTTTTAGGGTGAAATATGAAGAAGAGGAGCCATTTCCCCCATTTTTAGGGTGAAATACAAAAATAGGAGCAGTTTCCCCCATTTTTGGGGTGGACTATGAAGAAGAGGAGCTGTTCCTCCCATTTTTGGGGTAAAATATGAAGAAGATGAGCTGCTTCCCCCATTTTTTAGGGGGAAATATGAAAAATAGGAGCCATTTCCCCCATTTTTGAGGTGAAACACAAACAACAGGAGCTGTTTCCCCCATTTTTAGGGTGGAATATGAAAAAGAGGAGCAATTTCCCCTATTTTTGGGGTGAAACACAAACAACAGGAAGCATTTCCATCATTCCCAGCAGCATCAGAGCATTTCCCCACACGAACCCCGTGATCCCCCTGGCTGAACACATCCAGGCAGGCAAAAATCCTAAAAAAAAAATTAAAAAAAAAACCAAAAAAACCCCCAAATCGGAGCTGTAGGAACGATCTGACCCTTCCAACCCCAGCTCCTCCTGCTCCCAGCACGTCCCTTTCCTGTTTTCAGTAAAATATTGCTCAATCCTGCTGAAATCAGAGCCAGCCAGGGATTAAATTCCAAGAAATTGAGCTGAAATC